ATACCGCTGTTTCAAAAACCTTAATTTGAATTGCTTTCTTGGTGATGTATCAGACTTACCATGATATAACATCACCAAAAATGACCTTGATAATGAAAATCACAGACAATTTGGGAATCCAAGAAAAGAGCGAAATAGTTCATGCCAAAAAAGATGATATAAAGAACTCGAAAATAAGAAAATAGCGTATCTTGATCATGTGCTGGAAAACGGTGATTCAAAAACTTCTTGGAGAAGTCAGGAAATGAAGTGTTCACTTCACGAGTGTCAATGTGGCTTCAGACCTGGTAGAAGTACTGAAACAGCTCTGGCAGCTATAACTTATTATATCTCATATGCAAATGACACAAATTTATCAGCTGTTTTGGCATTACTCGACCCATCCAAAGCATTTGACACGATCAGTCAGGAATTACTTTGTGCTAAATTGAGGTATCACGGGTTCAATATTCTAATCTAGTTGTATTCTCAGGTCCTCAAGGGTCTATTTTAGGACCATTGCTTTTTATTATACACACTGCAGATATTTTAAATGACGTGAAACGTTGTCAAGTGCAGATTTACGGAGATGATATACAGTTGTATATGAATTTCTGTAGGGAGAGCTCACATTCAGCTACGGAATGCATTACTAATAAACTCAGAAAGATTAAAAAACCAGCTGGAGAACACTGTAGCTGATTTCGGATGAATCCAAAATAGTTTTCTTTGGTAATAAAAATAATAGGAATATTCTGGTTATTCACATAGACAACAAGTGGCTCAACATGGAAATCAGAAGAGAACATCACTTAAGTACCTTTGTTAAAAAACTGTTGGATGATTCTGACCCACCAAGTCTGGTCTTAAATCCATTCAAAGAATGTCAGAAAGTAGTCGTTTTTCGACAGAACCTACTTTGTAATGATAAGTGTTTTGGGATTTCATTCCGACATATTCATTTTCTTAAACGTATGTATCTCTCTTCGAAACAGTCTTCACACTGATTTTGATTTCAATTGAATTTTATTGAGAAATTAACTGATCTAAATTGAAACCTCTCTTCAGAGGTGGGACGGCAACAATGAAGTCTAATACAAGATGGGCTTGTGTTGAAGCACTACATTCTTCGTAAGATAATTTCAAAACGATTGTACAAAATATTGTTTGGACATATCTTAACAAGACAATGTTTTGTTGAAAAGTATGAATAACTTCAACTTTGTCTTCCACTCAGAAGACTTCGACTTACTGTCAAAAATCCTCCAGTTAAGCAGTATCACCTACGAAGTTGTGAAATCACAGCAGTGAAATAACTGATGAGTATGAGTAATTCTTCGGCCAGCAACTGATATACGGAGACAGTGGCGGCCCAGGACCTAAATTTAATGTGGACAAGGTACATTTCGCGAGGCCCTCTGATGGAACAAGAAGAAGAATTTATAGACTGAAAAAAACACTTAAAATTGAACAATTTTCTATTCATTAAGAAACAACGAAATTTTTACTCATGTACTTTTTTGGAACAGTAAACAACAAAATTAAAAAACCTTACTCAGAAGTAATGAAAAAACATCATATCTAGGTTACCGCATTGAAATTGCAGTCAAAGTTACTGACACTGCGGCTATTTATTCATTCAGACCTTTAAAATTAGCCCAAACAAGTCACGTCTGCTGTAATTTGCCTGGCGGAGTTGGTCCTTTGCAGACTGTTCTGGTTGCAGCATCAAGTCAAAGTCAAAATGTTATTGTACATGTACATACTGGAATTTTTATTTCGATCAGTGAATTTGTTAAAAACCACAATTGAATGCATAGTTCCTCTTCATAATCTTGGAAACGATCTGGTAACATTTAAACGGTTGGAGCGATTTTCATGAAACATATCTTAGAATCAACCGACAAAATTAGCTATTGAATGAAAAACCGCAGGAGCTACAGTGCCACAGATAGACACACAGATACACAAATAAACTTATAACATCCCTTTTTTGCGTTGGGGTTGAAAACGAAAGAAAAAGAATAATTTAAACTGTTGATAAAAATTTTACAAAATCCACTATTCTATTATTAACACAAGCGGATGGTTCAATTGCAACGACAGCCATAGAAAAAGAAAATCCACTAGCGGAACAATTTGCGTCAGACTCCATAGTCGATTTTCTGGAAAAGGCACCACCCACTATTCCCACACTAAAATCCACAATACCGGAAATTACTTTTCGACAACGTTTAGTCAGGCGAATTTTGAAACAGCTCAATATGAACAAGGCGTCTGATCCTGATGAAGTGCCCGTCATCGTCCATAAAAATTGCGCCAATGAACTCGCACCAGTGTTTCGCAGATTTTTCTACTTGTCTTACAAGGAATGGGTTTTTGCTTCTTGTTGGGAAATTGCTCGCGTTCAGCCTATTCCAAAAACGTATAAGAAAAATCTTCCAAATAACTATGGATAAGTTGCTTTGCTATCAGTAATATCAAAAATCAAAGAGAAAGCCGTAAACTACCATATCCTTACATATTTGGAAGGCTTCGACATCTTGAGCGATTATCGATATGGCTTTCGGAAACACAGATCAACAGGCGACCTTCTATCGTATGTCACCCATATTTGGAATAACGTAATCGAGAAATATGGAGATTTAAGAGCTGCTGCGCTCGATGTCTCTAAGGCCTCTGATCGTGTGTGGCATGAGGGTTTGCTGGCAAAACTTCGATGCTACGGCTTGTTGGATTATTATTGTGTATGGCTCTCCAACTTATTGAAAGAACGCCCTGCAAGTGGCCGTCGATGAATATCTCTCGAATACTATTACCATCAACGCTGGTGTTCGCCAGGAATTCATATTATCTCCAACTCTTTTTTTATTGTATATCAACAACTTATTGGAAAAAAACAAGAATCAAATATATTTGTTTCTGACGACAGCATACTTGTCTCGTCATTTCATTTAGATTACAGCACATCGATTGCGGATGCACATCTCCACCGGCAACATGAGGTTGCATATCTTAATGAGGATCTAGAGGTGGTTTCAAATTGGGGTGACAGTCACCAGATTCAATTCAATGCCACGAAAACCCAGGCATCGGTTTTCTTCAAAATGATAAATGTCTCCGAACCGGATATAATGATGTCAGGACAGACAATTCATATATATAAGTTTGTTGGGGTTCGAAATGGACAAATGTTTTGGCGCAACATGTCGCTGGAATTGCAGAAGCTGCTTTTTAAAAGCTTGGAACACTGTTAGGAACTAGAAAACTGTACACACGTCAGAAACTTTTGATGTTTCATAAAGCTCAGATGAGACCTTCTTTAGAGTATTGTTCACATGTATGGAGCTCCGCCTCTAAGCATACCCTGAAGCTGCTGGATTCCATTCAGAAAAGAGCCATCCGCCTGATTAGAGACGCGAACATCACNAAAATTCCTAGATGACTTTAATGAATGTCTTGGATAATCTTTATTGGGTCAAGATGTTCAGCTTATCAATTCACACAACATTGAATTCAATTTTGACAATTCTGCTTTCAACCCATATAAAATTTGAAGTTTGATTTTCGCTACCTATATCTTTTTCTACGACATTCAAGTTACGACATGAATACAGTAAATATAATTTTTGAAAAAAATTTTTACGTAGGTTTTTTGCTTTCAAGCAGATATTCGAATTTTCAGGCAAGTTTTGTCCAATTTAAGCAATATCTCGGATATTCATTATGCATAACATACAATTTGTAAGATATCCTAGACATAAAATATGTTGAATTGATATCTTATTAATTTTCAGAATACACCAAAATACACAGTATTACATTCATTTCATAAAAAAATCTTGTATAGAACATTCAACGTGTGCCCAAAATCTATTTGGCTATTTACCTCTTAGCCATTATGGATCACTCATTAACAATTCATCCACTTCAATCTGTTGGTATCATATTGTTTTTCTTAAGTTACACCACCTTCCCCTACATTAAATACACCTGAAGAAGTGTTGTAAAGTGAAACATCTATTGCGTTGTAGACTGTTGTTGAAAGTCACAATAAAGGCAATAACTGCTGCTCTTCTTTAACGGGGATTTGTATTTCAGCAAAGTCTCGGCTATTTTTGAGGCTCTTTAGTGACATGAAAGAGTAATAGAAAAAATTAATGGTTTTTTGATGTGTAAGAAGGCTTGAGAATTTGCAGTGCGGATGTAAATAGTCCCGCCCCCACCCTCTTAATTTTGAAGAGAAAAATATGTTAAGGTCGGACCAAGTTTACTGCAGAATGCATTATTTTTAGTACTTCATAAAAAGGGCAATGAAGTTTCTGAAAACGTTGTTCCAAATGAATTCAATCTCCAGCGATTCAAATTCAACGTGAATCGCTACTTTCTCACAGGCAGAGCGCCTTAAGAATTTTCCTGTAGTGCTTGTGTTTTGTCCTTAAAAAAAATCAAAAGTTTTGGGGAATTCAACACAGGCCAAAAGAGGAGAATGAGCACTCAATCCATTACAAACAGTTTTGTTATTTTTTCGAGGGAATAAAAAATGTAAGCAATTGTTCTGTGACACAAATAGTCAAAGAAGTCTCATTACTCAGCTCAAAATTCACTACTCTCTGTAACCCTTGCCACCCTAGTTGAAAATCTGGAATGCAATTTGGTTATAAGTCAAAATTAAAAAATCTGAAACTTTCAGGGCTACATATTTTGTATGATTTAATTCATAAAGCTCTTAGTAAAAATTCACGTCAATTCCAAGGAGACTGGTTTATGATGACTCTAATCATACAAAGTAATTACGGGCAAGTTTTCTACAGACAATAATAGTAAGTGATAATTTACCCCGGTCACGAATCACTGCTGGCCTGCTAGTCGATTGTCGATCTGGATGATTTTATTCAACGACCAGCTTTATATCATCGTTCAGGCGGGCTAGTCCTGTTCTGGAAACTCCGTTGCCTTATGAGTGGGAGCGAGACAGGTAACAGTCAGTCGCCCTACCTCTGTAATTTGCGTTCCTATTCGTCGGCGATCGTCAGACGACTCGTATCGTCATCGACATAGAAAATTAAAAGAGAACAATTTATAATTTCTAAGCTACAGTCTGCAGTGCAATCAGGGTTTGGGTGTTTCAGTGTGTGCAAGGTTGTTTCGTGACATCGCGTACCTCTTTTAATATTACGGCAATTGGTATTGTATAGAGCTGGATATTTCCAATGGATAAATTATCGAGTGACAACTTGAATTCAAGCATGAACGGCTACTCAGAAAATATATCCACCAACTTGGAAAATAGCAGGTGAGTTTTGTTTATATTTCATTGGCTGAAAATCTGGAACATTATTTCTTCATCTTATCATTATTATTTTTGTGAAAGCTATACGAGTAAGTTCGTGATACCGAATTACATTCGCATGTAGCCCGAATTTAATTTAATATCAACAATTCTCTTAAAAATGTGAAAATAAAACTTTCGCAGGACCACCTAACCTCTTCTAAACATCGAAATTAGGTGACTTTGTTCGTTTTGTCAATGACACGAATATTTTCACGCGTGATAATATGTATTTTTTTAGTAATACTTCATTTGCATTGTCGGTATGCAATATTTCCATTTATAAATCAATCAGTTTGTTAAAATAGATATCTTGAATGACATTTAATTATCATAATATTTTGCACCACTTCATCTGCAACATTGAGTTGTGTTTCATATGTTTGGAAGATATTTGATTGGTGGATGTAAATCACATGTATATTTCTAACCAATGGAAACGGCGAAATAGGGCGCTGACTAGTAACCTGTAATGCTCATTGTCGATTTTGAAGTGTCAGATTTTTCTTCTTGAGTATCTTTGAACCCTTTTTAGACATCAACCACTAAACAAACAAATTACAAATGATCACGATTAGAGTGTTGATCATTTGTAGATGGCACAATTCATACAATTCTCAAATGGGAAGCACAATTCATCAATGTTGGTATTTATAGAATATCAATAGTTTGAGGGCTGTTTGTCTGTAATGTGGATGTTCTGTTTGACATTCGTATTCCGTATGGATGAAGGGTCTATAGCTTAAAATTCATGTAATTCGATTTGTCAATGAAATTATTACCGATATTAGAATTGCTTTTATTTGAAACAAATTTAACCCACATCAGCAAAACATGATTGTCGACTGCGGAAGTGAATCTTCATAAACTGATTTTTTAAATCAAAATTCCTAGATGACTTTAATGAATGTCTTGGATAATCTTTATTGGGTCAAGATGTTCAGCTTATCAATTCACACAACATTGAATTCAATTTTGACAATTCTGCTTTCAACCCATATAAAATTTGAAGTTTGATTTTCGCTACCTATATCTTTTTCTACGACATTCAAGTTACGACATGAATACAGTAAATATAATTTTTGAAAAAAATTTTTACGTAGGTTTTTTGCTTTCAAGCAGATATTCGAATTTTCAGGCAAGTTTTGTCCAATTTAAGCAATATCTCGGATATTCATTATGCATAACATACAATTTATTGAAAATATTTTATTATTTATTCCTAACAATAATGCCTGTTTATAAATTTAGGTTTTACATTATGAAATATGCCTCTCACCAAACTAAACATGCTGAACGACTGAAACTGTTAACATATGTTCGAAATCAGAACATAAAAAAAATTAAAAAAATCGCTAATAGAATACGCGTAGCCCTTGAAATTTGAACATTTACCTTATTTCACGTATATACCCTTTACATAATATCTTAATATGTGCTTATCTTACGTCGATCACAGTGTTTTTTGTTTTTTACCTGTTAAATTTCTTCAACTGCCTACAAAGTCATGACACCCTGCGGTTGCGGTTTTGTAAACTGTGTTGTGAAAAATTTCACAACAAAGTGTTTTTCAATACGTTCATCATGGATTTTGATCAAATATTGGGCAATAGTTCAAGATGAAAAACACTCTTCGCCGTTTAATTATTTGTGAATAGAGACGTTCATTATTACTAATAATTAAAAAAAATATCTTGTTTAATAAGAGAAAAATGCAGATATTCATTAAAGTGATACAAAAAGTGTTAATCTTTGATCATTTAGTTAATTTTTAACACTAGGACAAACAGTTTACAAACAACACCCATGAATAAGCAATGTTGTTTAATATCGCCTGAGTTTTAGTGAACAGTTAGATAAATATATTGAATGATTTGTAACAAATTCACCTTGTATATCTTAATTGATAAAAATGAAAACACATACATCATATTCTTACTGTTCTACAATTCCTGACTATTTATTGGTGATAATTTTTGGTGTAATTTATAAAAATGATGCTCATAGACCACTTAATGAAGCTGCAAACCTCTAAGTACATCTGATATATTTATTTTCATCGCAGCCAGTATTCTAGTTTTTCGAAAAAAATATATCAGAGTTCGAAGTTGATGAAAACATTCCTATCTGTGCTTTGTACAACATGCATTATTGGGAAACAGTGTTGTAATATTTTTATCTATTTTCTGAGTAATTTCTGAATGATCTCGTAAAACATTGATGAATCATCTTAGTTCGTGAATTCATCGTATGATGAATCGTCCATCAGTGCCCAATGAAAACATGACACCACCAAAGTAATGATTTCATAAATATTTCTCACGATATTCGTATAACTGATTAGAAATATGTTTTGATGTGAAAGTTAGTTCTTTATATTTCTTAATTTGGACCTACGGTCTCAGGATTTCATCATATTATTTATACAATGAAGTCATTTGTTTGGCAAAATTCAGAAAAATTATGGATGTGCTAAATCTAGCGCTACACCTGTTCAATCCGTAAAATATACATGCATGTATTCTATCTGAAATTGCATATGATGTAATGGACACTCTTTGTATTACTGGTAAATAAACATATTATTATTATTATCATTGTGACGGTGCTCCTGCCGTCAGCATCANTCTTTTTATGCACATTAAACATAAACGTGTCTTTCACATTCAAACCATAAAACGGTTTCGGAACAACTACATTGAATTACAAAAATATAACTTTTTTCTTTTCAGTTTGTACTACAAACATTCATTATGGAATTGATACATATATCATTTGCAGAAACGCTGCACAGCGTAATATGTGACAAAGTATTGATATCAAATATCACTTACTCGTACACTTTCATCCTCAATGGTGTACTTCGAAGTTTCGGGGCAAAATACTTGTCTTATCACCGCAACAGCACCGTTTAGCATTACATTACAAGTCGAAGTGCTCATTTCTTTCTTGAGTTTTTCCAAAAACTAACCACCCTCAACCTTAAATACTTCCTTTTCAATTTATATGAAATTGATACTAACCGTATGAATGTGTATTCTCCTATTGTCATCGTGAAAAGAGCAGAGTTCTGAAAGAAATGAGTGCGTCGTCTTTCAATAGTATCCAAAACGGTGCTGATGGTATGATAAAACCAGTGTCTTGTCCCGAAACTTTGAAGTACACCGTTGAGGATGGTAGTGTTCCCGGTAAGTAAGATTTTGTATCAATACTCTTTCATTTATTACAACTTGTAGTGTCCCTATGAATGGTTCGATTCCAAGACGAATGTTTGTTGTACAAACTGAGTGGAGAAAAGTGATTTTTGTATAGTGAAATGTTCATATGGAAGTAATTGTTTCGAAAAGGTTTTTTCTTTCAGTTTGTATCTGAAAGAAGCTCCTATACATAACTCTATAAATATAAAGACGTTTCATTATTATTTCCTTCATTCAAAAGTTTCATAAATTTTTTATTCAACAATGGAGAACTAGAAAGTCAAAAAGGTTTCTCCCTGAATAACTGATCTTCTCTAAAAATATTCTATTTTCAATTTAAACGCTTAAATTGAATTGGGAATTCCAGGTTGTCAACAATCAACATCGAGATGTAAAAACAATTTAAAATCTAAAAAAGAACATTCTAGTGAGTCGAAATGGTATTATTTTTGGCAGTAGATGTTCTTTGTGCTACTGAAATAGGTATTTATTGGGAGAAATATATTTTCTTTTGTTTGAACTCGGAAACAATTCACATTTGTCTAAGACCCCTTCACCAAAAATTGAAATGAAAGTTTTCCTGGTTTGGAACTGAAAATAGGAATATGTGATGAACATTATGATATATTCAGCATACAGAGCATTCAATAACAGTAGCATTTAAAAACAGTAACAATGATCAATTGATAAATCAATGCGTATCTAGTGGTATGGTTTGGTATGGAATTCTCAAACCACACGAGTCAGTGACTACCAACTAATAGTAATAGTAAACACTTTTTGAATATAAATAAGCATCTGCAAAAATTTTGAACTTTCACGATGACAATGGACAAATGAAATGGGTTTTTTCGACAACTTTTCTGGCAAATTCAAATTCAGTTTTGCACATGCTCAGAAACTCAAAAACGACAAATTCAAGGACAAATCTGACATGGCTACAAACACAAGTGAAAATGGTTTACTGATATGTTATTTATTGCAGTGAAGGATAACCTATGCATTGAAAATTCAATCAGGTGTCTGGATTGTCTACAAAACAATATGAT